TTCTCTATATGGCAGTATTGTTGGTCGCGAAATGTATGATTCGGTGGCTCCAACACCCTCAACATACTACGGCCAATTACCTTTGAATGCCATTAGCGTTGGCAATGAAATTTTTACAAACAGATTACCAACCGCATCAGCAGCACCTGCAGCGATTTACGATGAGGTGACTATCGATGACTATTTGCGTCCACATCGGCCGGCGCCTTTGGCCCCACCACAGCTCTCTACACAGCAAATACAACGCCGTCTAGAGAAACTAAAGCAGCAGCAGGATAATGGTGGTGGAAATTTGTATGCACCTATTGCAGCCGAATCCGCTCGGGAGAATGAAAAAATTCAACAAATACTCAAGGATTTGGGCTCCGCTGCTCTGGAAATTGATGTACGCAATGCAGTGAGGGCCGCAAATGGCGATGCAAATGCTGCAATACGACACTACAAAATCGATCAACTTACTAGGTGTGTAGCTAAAATAGTTTCCTATGTGCATGCTTACAAAAAGCAAGATAATTCGAAAGCTGCAGCTTTTCTTGCATTACGTCTTACCTATTGTAACAGCGTAAAAATGCCCCAAAAGTGTTTTTGATTACTGCTCTTGGAGAAACAGTTACCAATTTTCAAATTAAACTCTGCTAAAGAAATTTTATAAAAAAGGATAAGAAACGAGATAAATAAGTACCTTATTCTAAGGTACTACATAATTTCCGTACGAAGATAAAGGAAGTATTTTTCTGAGACATTATCTCTCTTAATAGTGTCGCAAACTGGGCTAGGTGAACCTTCACATGCCGGACATACATTGGGTACGTCGGGATCTTGCCTGGAAGTATAGCAATATAATATCCAAACCGCAATTGAGCCAGAATTACCTGGTCTCTATAGGTACGATGACCATCCGTCCTGTATTGTATGGGACAGCCCTCTTTTTTTAGTCAATTGTCCTTGCAATTTATTTAGTTTATATGGGACGCAAAATATTCTGCTTTCTTTTAATGTCCCGTATTTGTCACATATCCAATACTTAGTTTTTCTATTGACTTCTCTCTACCAGTTCATTAGAATAGCATGCTATAAATCCAGATAGTGAATGCTCAAGCCTACTATCGCGGAAATTTTAGGAATATTTGTACATCCCAATAAATGATTTCTCTCACAAAAGAAAGTTTCAACAAATTTAAAATGTTTGTGGGGGATTTTAATAATGATTCATCTTTTTAAGAAATAAAATGCTCAAGTTCGGGAGTAATAAAAACACAGACTCTTGGTCCGATATACAAAAAGTTTTGTTTTAATTTTGGCAAAGTGAGATTGCTTAATAATTGATAATAATGAACAATTTGAGTTTAATTGCATTAGAGCAATTTTTAGATAAAAATGTGAAATGGTTGATTGATGAAACAACTATTATTCGATTATCGCTTTTCCATGGTATTGTGAACGTCATTATCTCGTTAAATAAGTTAGTGTGAATAAATTATAGGCGACCATCCTTCTACAAACAAACAGTTGAAGAAGGATGAGCGACTAAAAACTATTCACAGTCGCTTATTGAACGAAAAATCGACATTCACAATACCATGGAAAAGCGATAATCGAATAATAGCCGTTTATCTACTATTAGTCGACACTTGCAATAGGGGTGAGTATAAGTTCAAATGGGCAGAAATCATAGTTACTAAAAATATTCATATAACAGGGAGTCGATAACGTCGATAACGATGTTTACCCATAGATTAATGTTAACCAGACATTGAGTAACCGGCCCTAAATCCATTTTTTCCTGTATTTAGAAATTAACAGTTCTTTTTCCAAATTGCCTTTTTTCGAATAACTTGAAAACCGGTTTTAGGAAAAAGTCGAATAATCGGACACCCTATTATATAGCGATATATTGTAATATATGTTGTAGTTTTTTTAAATCAAAATTTCATTTTTCAGACTCGGGCTTGCAAATCGTCCACAGTGTGAACAAGCGTTACAGAAAACCGGTTGGAGCCTAGAACTAGCAGCTGCTGCGTTACTAGAAAATACTTCATAGAAGGTTTAAATTCGCCAAATTTTCAAAATACTCCTTATTTTACTAATTTATCATTCCAAACTCTCACCTTCTCGAATTCTTTAAATTTACGATTAGTATTGAAAGTCAATGGTCACGTAAAGAAAAAAATCATCGAATACAAAAAAGGTAAACAAAATACAGAGCACATTACAAAACGTTAACGAATTTATTTCTATTGACCGCCTCAATTTAGAGCAAAATCTCGAATATTGAAAATACCGATGTTAACAGTGTTACGAAAAATTTAGAATTAATATTAATTTTTATTTATGAAACCCATTAACTATAGCATAAAAAGCAACAAATGTATTAGAACTAGAAGCATTTGAAGAGTATTGATAGCAAATTTTAATGCTATCAATTCCAAATTCCTAGTACACTAAACTCATAATATATCGACGTTAGGCAGATGAGAAAATTACAATTTTTAATCGAAAAATTACATTGAAGTACATATATTTTTTTATGTAAATGAATAAGAGAACTTGTAACCTGTTATTGCATGTAAATGGTAACATTTTAAAATTCTGTCATATTTTTTGGAACTCAATATATTGGGTGCTTTCCAAAACGTCAAAATACAAGGCATCTGTCTCTTTTATTTCTAAACCGCACTTGAAGAAAAAGTCTAGCTTGCGGAACCCGGTTGAAAACTAGCATCTATCCGTGGTTGCGCATATTTAGCATTACGGTCTATTGAGGTTGACGTTTTGGAATGCACCCATTCTTAGAAGTCAGTAATATATTTTAAAAGATTTGAATTCAGCTGGCTAACTTACTTTTTATAGTAATAAACTGACAATTCTGATCGAAATATGGTTTTGAAGTACAGTTATTTAATATCCTGAAAATAAAAGGTTTTTTTTTGCTTTTAAAGTAGGATAGATAGCCAAAACTAACTTAAGTCAGTCGAAAATCAATACATTCAACCGTGCAATGAATGATTAATGTATCTGTACATAAATGAAAACATCAAAATGAAAACCCAGCATATTTTAAGATACGCCCTTTTAATATTCTTATTTAGGGCTAAACTTTTTGACTTACTTAGCTTATCGTAAAATATTTGCAAAATGCCAGAGGAATCCAGCAATCAAAATCTTTTTCGCTCCCCTTCATGGACCTTTATTCGAATATTCTCGTCGCACAAGACTCTTGTGACAAGAGGAACGCAGACCAGAGATGCCAACTCTTCTGTGGCTAATTCCCCGAAATTCCACAAAAAATTCCCCTATTCTTGATGAAAATCTCCAAAATGAATTTTACTACATATTTAAGTCACTCCAAGCTCATCTTTTATTAATATCATTAATTGTGCTTATATCATGTAATAAGGACAGCTTTTTTGACATTTCATTTTTACAATACAAAAAGCTAATTAATATGATGGCTGGTGGCGAAAACGAAACGAGAAAATAGTGTGAAATGTGTGAAAAACGAAAACGTGGAAAATGTCGATATGCACAGTTGCAATTTCTTTGATACACGGTTGCACGAGGCAATTTGTAATTTATAAATGCAATTTTATCCTCAATAGGAATGTTCTAATCAAAATCGTTTGTATATTGAATTCCCCAAAATTTAAAGTCATTCCCCCGATAAATTCAAATGCCACCAAAATCGGGGGAATTCTCCCCTAGTTGGCATCACTGACGCTGACAAAACTTAAGGTAGTTCGTGTTAAGAATTTTGCGTCAATTATATTTTAGAGCTAGGTGTACGCACTGTTAAAACACTATTGCTGGAAGATCAGAAAACTAAAACAAGTATCTCGATGACTATTTTCAAATATTGTATTTCAGCATTTTAGATTAAGTATTATTTAATGGAAACCCTTTAATACTTTCAAAGTTTTTTTTGACACACCGCCCAGTCAACATTCTTTTCGCCAAAAAGTTCAACAATGCTAAGTGGCTATAAATTTTAAATGAAAGATATTCTTAATTTTTAATTTATGAAATAAATTTATAATACATATGTATGATTTTAAACATGCATGATATTAAAAATATTTGAATGCATGTACGTTGAGTTAGAAATTAATTAAATTACGTAGATAGTGTTAATCAATTGCGTAAATACATACATATATATGTATATACTCTACAGGGCATATGTGTATGTATCTAATGAGTATTACTTGTACATTGGATGTTTAAAAAGAAAATAAAGTAATACATTCTTAAATTTATTAAAGGTTTTTAAAGCTTCGATTTCTTACTGAGTAAGTACAGTCTCCCATTGATAACAAAAATGTGTACATAATAACTAGTGGAACAAAAAATCTGGTTTAAAAGTCCCTTTTGACAAAAAAAATTGCCTTGCAATAAAAATTATCATTTTCTCACTGTTAAATTACTGTTTTAAGATTTATACTAAACTAAGTCTTTTCTATCAAATAATTTTTTATTCATCTCAACAAAACGAAAAATAAATGTATGTACATATCGTCGATGCTTTTGAAAAACCGCCCATCGACCAGTTGCAAAACCGCCTAAATCGCCGTTGTGGCAAAAATGAGATTTGGTAACCCTGAATTCCAGGCATCGAGATTTATGCATACAAATCGTTATTAAAACAACAGTTTTGTAAAATATTAGCTAGGGAAAATACCGCCTATCAAGGCAATGCCTTCAAAGAATAAACCGTCTTTTCGCTCTCCTGTAAAATTTAAGTGCCGTAAGATAGGCGGTTTTGCAATTGGGCGATGGGCGATTTTGCAAAAACATTGACGATATGTATTTACAATATGGCCTATAGAGCCATATTATTATACTAAAATTGAATGAGCTATAAAACTGAGTGCGCAAAACTTTTCCGAAAATTCTTTAAAAAAAGTGTAAAATTTTGGGGAAAATTCGCTGAACTTTTATAGTTTTTGGGCAAGGTTAGAAGTGAGGATTTGTACGGTGTTTATTATAGAGTCAACTATATATATGGTGTGCTAATGCCGTGACTGCCCTCGGCCCGTTCAGAGTACGTTCCAATTCCTTTCGCCGCACTGTGCACCGACTCCATACAAACAATGGACAAAAATTGGAGTGGTCGGAGTTTGTTGAAACTTTACTCCTAAAAGGATTACATCACGATAATTTCAAAAATGAAATCGGTTTTTTCATACCAGTTACGGATTTCGAAAAAAATGGTTTTGTACATTTTGCTATGTACTTAGCAGAGTTCTTGCGAATATTCGCATTCGCAACCGCGGAGCTTCCGCATTAATTTTAACATTCGCATGCGGAGCTTTTGCTAATGCGAATGTTGTGTAAGTGAACCGATAAACCGTATATCTGGCAAACAAAATGACAAATTGTAGCCAATATTTTTATCTGTTTCCTTTTTGGTTGTTATTGTTTCCGACAGGGTGGGTGTATGATGTATTTTGGAACGAATTTCCGTCTGGAGAGAACGAAAAATGACACTGAGACGGCACAACGCCGAAACCGGTTAGTCTCCAAACCAAATTTGACAAGGGATGACGGAAATTCGTTTCAAAATACATAATTTTTATCTGTGGTCGTGGGAGTATTTGTGTAACAAATCTGGTCAAATTTTATATTTTTCAACTTTGATAAAAATGTCATTAAAAATATTATTTCCTAAGCTATATAACCGAGTTATCAATGGGCAGTCATACAAGTTCCCACTTCTACAACATAGTCATTTTAATAGAGTTTTGTCTTTTTTTGTTTTCTGTGCTTTAAATGCCTTCATTTGTTTATTTCTTTATTATGATTTTTTTCGGACCAATCTTAAAAAAACTACTAGACATAAAAGAAGAAAGGGTGCCCTGTAGTCTTAACCCGAATTTTCGTGATTTGCCTTTGATGTTACATCTATTCGTTTCAGTCATTTAAAATGGGGCTCTTTGGGGAATTTATTTTTATCAAAAATTTTAAAAACAGTAGTTTTGTTTACTTGTTGGATAATATTTTTTTTTCATATTTCATCGTGTCATAAAGAAATTAACGGTAATCCCAAATTTTTGTATGTAGTCGCTGGTATTTTTTCCTCAAAAATTACTTGTTGTTGAACATTACTTTCCATCCTTTTTCTTCTTGATAATTCGCTGAAGTTATTTTGGCGGTTACGGCTCGATTTTATCGCATCTCCCAACTTTCTGTTGATGGAGTTAATCAATTTTTGCACTGAACGGCTCATATAATGGTTAAAGCAGTCTACAGAAAACAACGCAATTTTCCTAGAATTAAGAAAAATACTAAAATACATATATGGCATTTCCATCTGCCTGGTTGTCAGGCTAACTGGTTAAAAAAAATTTATATATATATATATATATATATATATATATATATATATAATTAATATAATATAATATAATTTGGGCGAGAGACCCCACCATTGTACAGCAGAACAAGGCAACCGAGTCCTTTCCTACCCTTTCCTCAATGTTAGGCTTCCACCGTTGATCGTCCACCTAGTTACATGATTCAGGTAACCTTGAGCCAGATCAAAAAGGGTGTATAGAAATTGCCTTGCCACAGACATTTTTTTCCTACCAAAACTTACCAAACATTTTTTTGAGTTTTAATATTTTTTTTCAATGTCAAATTTATTAAAAACATAGCTAACATAATATTTAGTAAAACTAAAACACAGCTAGTACAATAAAAACAAATTAACTGCGTATAACGATTCATTTTACTGTACATACATACATATAGTCATTAGATACGAATTAAGACGCGAGCTCAAAAGTTGACAGCGAAAACAGACGCGTAAAAAAATTTCAGCGAAGAAGGACTCTTTAACATAGGCGAGGGCAAAGAAAGACGCGTTAGCCTCTTTGACGGCGAAGAAAGACGAAGAATACTTATTTTCGTGGTCAACTATGTTTGCGAGTATACGAATTCCCCAAAAAGTTTTTCCGGAATGATGTTGAATCTATGTTTACGCGTCTTTTTTCGCAATTTTTTTTCACGCATATTTTTCGCCGTCAAAACACCCGAGCGTCTTTATTCGTGTCAAGTGACTATATTATTATTATTACGTCGGAGATACCCTCGTTGCGATCTAAGAAGATGTATTGTGCTAAATCTGAATTGTAATCGCTCCAACCTTAGGCTATTTAAAAAGCTCAGCACTTTGGATGATGTCATGTTCAAAATTTTAGATGGAGAAGACAATCCTTCTCCAAGGTGCATCAATCTACTATTCATGCTTCGTGGATAGGAACATAGAATATACTCTGGGGTTTCCTACACCGGCCCACAAAACCTACTGTCAGTCTCTACTGAAAGACCCTTTAATACAATCGGTACGTTCACTTGCAGTGTGCTGTCAGGTAGCCAGTAAGAGTTTTATGTTCAAGGTATCTTTCGGAGTTCCTCATGAAAAGTTATAAGGCTCGGAACCATGCAAACGCATTTGGGCTTCACTCTTTGCAAGACAGTCAGCCTTCAAACCCTTCATGTCCCTGAACCCTCCACAGCGGTACGCTATTGTGGGCTCCCAGGTGGTTCAAGAGTTCACAAGCCTTGATGCCGTTTTGAAAGACTCTAAGGCTTCTAAAGCTGCCTGAATATCTGACATAATATTTATATCCCATTTTTGGCAACACTGATAGAAATCATTCCTTAACCAAAAGTTCCACATAGTGGAGTGCTCCTATTGACTCTCCACTGTGTGCAGATGCTCCCCCACTCCGCCGCGACACTTCTGTCACGAAGTAAGCTGTAGATAAGCTTTATTAGGTTGGTTTCAACCCCCATATTATGAATATACTTGACTATTGCCCCTGGAGTAGCATTGTTGAAGGCCCTCTCGATATCGAAGAAATTCCCAACTGTATAATCTTCATGCGTGAAGGGTTCCTCTGACCACCTTACCATTGTGTGCAGGGCGGTATTTACCGACCTTTTCTTGCAATAACCATATTGAGCTCTTGAAAGACATTCACGAGGAATCCAGCGTTTTTAGTAAAAGCGTTTTAAGCAAAAACGAAGAAACTGACTACCCTCCAAGCCTTTGGATGAGAATGAAATGAGAACGAAAGTATCGGGAACGTTTTCAAGGAGGATCAAATAAGACCCAAAGTCTGGGGAACGTTCTGCTAGATCACAAAACACCCCTATTGCGAGTGTCGGCTAGTAGTAGGTAAACGACTATTAGTCGATTACACTGTGTGACAGTGATAAAACACTTTTTACGAGACATACCTCAAGTTGTACGTCTAGACAAGTATACAAAAACTGCATACTCAGAATTTCCAATACGCACTCGCAATCTGGAGTTAGGGGCCAAAAACCCCTTTTCAATAGGTGAAGGCATATATTGGCCCATAACTTTAATTCTAGTTATTCTATGAAAACAATTTTGGTGCCATTGAAAAGAGGACATTTCTTCTTCTAGCGATGTATAAACTTCTTATTTTGTTTACAGAAATTTCAGAGAAACTGTACAAAATATACCAAAAATTTCAATTTTAGGAAAAAATGTCTATGTTGAGTAGGGATGTTGCGAATGTGGAATTTTAGACATCCGCGGATGCGGATGTTTAAAAGGTAAAAAAGGTATGCGGATGTCATGTATTTTTAAGAAATAATTTAGGTGGGTAAATGAGGTAACTTAGGTAAATAAAAAATGGAAAGGTTAGTAATTTTAAAAAATCTGCCTTATCCTGAGTGTAGCCCGAAAATTTGTATTCCGCCCATAGTAAATACATGAAAACCAAAATTGAAAAGTGAACCGGTTCGGGAAAAATTAGACTCATGATAAGACTGAATTTTTTTTTTAATACTTGAATTGAAAAATTGGAACATTGTATTTAATAAAAACTTTATAAAGGGTCGTAAATCAAACCTGCGCCGCTATATAACTACTCACTCCCAGCCAGCAAAATCATCGTAAACAAGCTCGTAACTGGATATTTTCTCGAAGAAAAACCGGATTAAAAATCGTTTATGATAGCCGTTTACGACTCTTTTTCGAGCACTTTTTCGCTTTAAATTGTGCATCGCTTACGAACAGTCGTAAACGGATCGAAAAAGCATTCGTATGCGAATATTTTTACGTCCGTTTTTTAATTGTAAACGAGTCTCGTAAACGATTAATTTACGTTAAAAAAGCGTTTTTTTACACTGCTTTATCTACTGTTTTTGAATGCTAAAAATAAAGGCAATTAATTAATTCAAATTATTGTAGTTCTTTTATTGAATGAAATTATAATTA